TAAATTAATTCCTTAAAGGGATCTTAGAAATAAGTACTAAAGTGACAAAATTATATGTCTTACCACAAAAAAGGTTAACCAGAATTTAACTCGTATTAAATGTGTATTTAGATAGTATAGTCTCCGTATAAATTTTGACGTAATTTTATTAACTTTATTTATTTATGTGGTTAGAAGATGCATCTAACACTGAATAATTAATTAATGTTGTATTACTGATCAAATCAATCAACGTTTGTCTTCTTATCTCTAGCCCTCGGCGTGTTATAAAGATCCAATTAGGAATAAATGTTTTTGATTACAAAACATAAACACTTCATTAAAAGTGATATCCATATTTAACATAACATAACATCATGCCTTTTTCCCCGAAGGAGTAAGCAGAGATGCACATTACGGCACTTAATGCCACTGTACAATGTAATATCCACAGTTTTACTATTTATGTTATGAGGTTATGAGTCCCATGTAATAGGGGGTGAGCTTATTACCATATACCGGGCACACTTCCAGACTCTTGAAAAAACCCAGTAATACTTTGCCTAACCCGGGAATGGAACCCGAGACTCTTTGCCAGGCGATCGCACTTGCGACCACTCGGCCAACGAGGCAGTAAAATGATATCCATATTCTTTGTTTTTATTTGCTTACTTAGAATTGGTAACTTCATATCAATAAGCTGCCAATTAAATATTTGATACAATTAGAGCTGGTTTCAAAGCTAGGGGATATGGGCAGCGCGGCTGAAGCGCAGGCTTCAACAATAGAGGCATCAGGCAACAATCCAATAGAGGAGTTAATCGAGTGGCCACAACTAGAAGTATTAAATTAGGAATCTTGCCTTAAATGAAATTGAAATTTAATACAATATTTGCGCATAAAGATCAGATTAGGTGCGGTCTTCAGTTACTTAAGCTTTAGATTAAAATAAAAGTGTATCTCATAGATCATAATTTCTAGCGATAAAGTCCTCTACTGGGACCTCTACCTCTATGACAGTCGCGTCGCAATAAAACGATGCTAGAGCTCTCATCATCTCCAAGCGCGAGGCATTTCAGCAGCGCTGCCCAATCTCCTAGCTCTGAAACCAGCCTAAATGAAAGAAGTTTTGAACATATATACTTTATAAAACCATTCTAGTAATAAGATATATTCTTATTATCTTTACTAATTAAGGACGCCCAATAGCTATACGTGGACGTTCAATAGCTATATACGGACGCCCAATATTTATATACGGACGCCCAATAGCTATATACGGACGTTCAATAGCTATATACGGACGCCCAGTAGCTATATACGAACGTTCAACAGCAATATACTGACGATCAATAGCTAGGTGATCTAACATGATACCTTTTTTTTGAGGGATAAAAAATCATCCAATGCCTTTTCCCGCCGGCCGCCGGCGGCCGCGCGGGTGAGGCGAGTGGAAGTTTCAGAGGAAGTTTCTCTTACTGACTTTTTTTTTAAGCGGGGAAAATCATCGAATGACTGCTCCCGCCCAGGTAAGGCGGGAGGGAGTGTCACTCTTACTGACTAAAAACCACTCCGTTCCTTCTCCTGCACGTCCAGCCGGAGCCCCGGTTACCCGTTAGGTTCTCCGCGACTCCGACTCGGTATCGGCCCTGTTGGGCCCCATCTGTGGTGGTTTTATGGCTCTTTGAGGCGCGCGCGGAACGCGACGCGCCGCACGTTCAGGTCTGTTTCTGGTCGGACGGGGAGCCACCCACGCGTCCCGCCTCCTCCTTAGCTAGCTTGACTGCTTCGCAAAAGGAGGAGACGGCATCCCAGTCCCCCTCGCTCCGCATCATGGCCTGCACTAGGCCCGCACGCGAGAGGTCGCCATCGCCGATCACTTCCTTGAGGGTACGGCGGTGCTCAGCCCACGCAGGGCATTCCGCTATAGTGTGTTCCACCGTGTTCTCAGGGCGGTCCTCACAATGATGACACTCGGACCTTTTCTCCCGCCCCATCAGACACAGGTACCTTCCGACTCTTACTGACTTAAAACCACCCCGTTCCTATTCCTGCACTTCGAGTCGGAGCCCCGGTCACCCTTTAAGTCCTCCGCGGCTCCGTATCGGCATCAGCTCCATACGGGGTGGTCTGATGGCTCCTTGGGGCGTATGCGCAACGCGACGGGCCGTACGTTTGGGTCTGGTTCTGATCGGGCGGCAAGTCATCCGTGCTCGCCGACCGCAGGCCCGTGCTTACGGTGGACGGAGACCGTTTCGCGATCCCCGACGCCTGGAGTGTCTCTCGTGACGGCTGGACCCTGAGGAGGCTCGTTCCCTCACGAGCTCCGCCTAATCCTTAGCTAGCAGGACTATTTCGCAGAAGGAGGAGACGGTATCTCTGTCTCCCTCACTCTGTACCATGGTCTGAACCAGTGTCGGACGCGAGAGGTCGCCGTCGTCGATCACATTCCTGAGGACACGGCGGTGTTCAGCCCACGCAGGGCACACTGCCACCGTATGCTCCACCGTGTCCCCGGGCGGCCCTCGCCATGATGACACCCGAGCGTTTCCTCCCGCCCAATCCGAAGCAGGAACCTACCGAAATTTCCGTGTCCGGTAAGCACCTGCGTCAGGCGGTAGATAAGGACGCCGTAGCGTCTCTGTTTCTCAAGCCACTCCGCAAATCTAACATGACACCTGCTGAGGAAGTACGTGGATGTTCAATAGCTATATACGGACGCCCAATAGCTATATACGGACGCCCAATAGCTATATACGGACGTTCGATAGCTAAGTGATACCTGCTGAGGAAGAAACTTTCTTCGCGCGCATGGCCATCGTCAGGCTCCGCAGGGGACCCCTGCCATTACCATGTCAATTGTCAGGATCCGCAATCAACGGACCTCCCATTTCCGTGTGTGAGCAGTATGATGTAGCCTTTTACTTGATGACCATAGCGTTTGGGTCAACTGAAATTTGCATGACCATTTTTGAATTCCTAACGTAGCCCAGTAGATGGTGCTAGTCCAGCAGTGGACTTAAATAGGCTGATGATGATGAATAACTATATACGGACGCCCAATAGCTAGATGATCTTTCACAGTTATAGATGATCTTACATGATGACCGCTGGGGAAGAAACTTTCACTTATTTTACTCTTGCTTGCTTTGAAATAAATTGAGAGTTTCTTTCTTTAGATAAATTTGTAAAACCGGTACGCCGCGCCGACACATACGGGCTGAACCGATTTGTATTTATGTACGGAATAGACTAGACAAACATTTAAAAAATATGTTATTCCTACTGCGGCATCTTCTAATTTAAAATCTCATAGAAACCTCAATTTTTTTCATCTTGTTACCAATATTATACCAATATCGGGCATTAGTATATGTATTGATAGATTTTATGAATATTGTAATACTGTTAAAACTCTGTCCCAGACGAGTGACAAGAGAGAGGAAAAGAAAGAGACAAGTGAACCCAAAGCTGGCAACGTTGCACTCGCAAATACCATCCACGCTGTGAGGACGTTAATTAGCCGAAGCCATGGTTAAATCACGATCAATATATCTAGGAGCCCAATTAGTTATCACGATGGTTTGGGTTTCAAAAATGTTGCAGCATGACTGCAAGAAGAATATCGCGAAAAATAAAATTATCGGAAAATGACGTATCCTACAAAGCTGGAAATCGAATAACTAAGCAATATTCATCAAGACATATTAAAAATGTTAAGGGGAACTGGGGGACGTCATAATGATGCGCGACATGTGTGACGCCAAAACGATTCTAGGATGTAAATATATATAAAAGAAAGTCGTGTTAGTTACACTATTTATAACTCAAGAACGCCTCAATCGATTTAGATGAAAATTGACAGGGAGGTAGCTTAGAACCAGGAGACGGACATAGGATACTTTTTATAGAATACTTTTTTTTACTTTTTACCGAAAATCACGAACGGGAACTGGGGGGAAAATGGGATTGCGCGTACGAAGTCGCGGGCAGAAGCTATATATATATATAAATAAAATAGTTATCGTTTGTAACTAACTGCCGCATTACGGCAAAGACTGCAGCTTGCATCCTCTTACTGGTAAGCTCTATCTTATAGTACAAATTAATTATTTAGTCTACAAGATACTAAGAGAACGTACTTTAATACTTATTGGAAAAGTATTAGAGTCTAAGTTAAATTGCTTTTCTTAGAAGTAAGGAAATATAGGTAGGTACCTATTTTGTAATTTCATGGTATTATCTTAAACTATATAAAGACTGCCTTGTTGGTCGAGTGGTTGCTAGTGCGACTGCCGGGCAAGGGGGTCAGGTTCGATTCCCGGGTCGCACAAAGTATTACTGGGTTTTTAAACATTCTCAGTAGTAGCACTGAGTCTGGATTTGTGCCCGGTATTTGGCAATAGGCTCATCCCCTATTACATGGGACTCATAACATAAATAGTGAAGAGTGGGTCTTACATTGTACAGTGGCATCAAGTGTCATAATGTGCACCTCTGCCTACCCCTTCGGGAATAAAAGGCGTGATGTTATGTTAAATATTTATTATGACGTAAATGCATTAATTAAGATTGGTTATCAATATAAATAGCGCTATTGATTGATTTATTAATATTTATTTAGTAGGTACAAATTAAGACCAATTTATAGATAAGTCCAATATGATTCAGTATTTCGGTGCATTCAGACATGTCAGGATGGCCGAGCGGTCTAAGGCGCTGCGTTCAGGTCGCAGTCCACTTCTGTGGGCGTGGGTTCGAATCCCACTTCTGACAATAATCTTTTTGGAGAATAGTATTAAAGTTTAGTTTTGCATTAATTTTGTTTATTTGCCATTGTTTTATATCAGTTTAATTAAGTTTTACGAAGATTATAGTATTTTATTATATCTTGACCATTATTGATCGGTCTATTAATTCGTTTATCTCCAAAATATTAAACATATTTCCCTCTTATAAAATGAGAGTAATACTTATAGTAATATTTTATTTAACCCTGTTTTTAATTTAATTTGTTGCAGTTAAGATACATGGTGGACAAATTAATGGATCTACGCGCGGAGTCAAAGAAGAAGCTCGCTGACAACCCTAGCTTGACCATCGGTGACGTCACTACAGTCAATCTTACTATGTTGTCTGTAAGTACCTAAAAAGCATAATATTACAATTAGCCACGCCTTTAACCCTTTTAGTGACGTCATTATAGACACAATTAAAGAACAATAGGTTGCGGTCACCGGTGTCCTCGCGGTGTTTGACAGTTTAATTCCCAAAGAAGATGACAGATATTATCTATAATGTAATGTAACACCCACTTTACATTTCCTATAAGGTCTACGCAATAAGGCGTGAGTCTATTTCCATATTCCATACATTACTCACTTTACCAACGAGGCAATTAAAAATAAAAAACAGTGACATAAAACTATATGCTGAAGTTTTTCTCTTAAAAATACACATTTAAAAAACAGACTGTCGATTAAAAACCTTTGTTTAAACACGATTCGAAATTCGAACAATTCGAACGATTTGTTATTCTACAAATCGTTCTGTAACTGTGAAATACTGTTTAGTAGTTACTGGAATTAGTTTAGCTTAAACTGTAGTTAACTGTTGATGTTTACGATCTAAATATTTAACTTACATTGAATTATTCCGATTATTTATTAATTTTACTACTTCTGCTATCTAGTCGATGCTACTATTTAGTCGTAGGCACCACTGCTCTTCCTGGGAATGTTCCGTAATAGCCGTTGCATCGTGGGGGCTCCGGAGCAGGTCTCTTTTAGAGGACCCGGTGCCTCCGTTCAGGTGTTGAGGGTAGTCACTGGGATGGCTTTAGTGAGGTTCAAATCCCACACTGCCTAGTCATTCTCCTCAAAAAGCTAGACGCCTTAACCCGTCGAGCGTCCGCGTTCCTTATGATCCAACGGGTGTACATGTGACATTTGGAGCATTTTTTCTTATGATCCACCGGGTGCTCATAAGGACGCTCGAGGGGTTAAGACGGTTTCCCCGCGTCATCAAAAAAAACAGACACTAATGCTGAGTGTGATGTTGGAGATTCAAGTCTCATGCAAATCAAGAATTTAAGACGAAAAAGAATATCATCTTCTTGAAAGCATTAGAACAAGGAGGTCGCAGTTTCTCTAGTCTACGACAATACTGCATATTATTACATTAATAATAAAACTAGCAAAAGATGAGTAAAATCTACACGAAGGTATTTTACGCAAACAGCTTGACTTTATTCACATTAAAAAAACTGTCAGAAACAATCCTTATTTTTTGGTCAATGTATAAATGTTTTGGTAAGTTTACATTCACGTGCAGATTCATCATGGCCGCTGTTTTATTCACAGGGTGGGATCCAAAACAATGTTGTGCCAGAAAAGTTGACCGCCAGTTTTGACATCCGCATCGCACTGTCTGTCGACCAAAAAGAGTTTGAGAATCAGGTATGGACTGACACAAATACGTGCTTTTGTTATTTATTAAATAGTTCTACATTTAGTATTGTCCTTTTTAGTTTCAATCTTATACTATTAGATAATCTTATACTTCTTATACTATTATATAAAGCGGATGAGTTTGTTTGTTTGTTTGTTTGTTTGTTTGAACGCGCTAATGTCCGAAACTACGGGTCCGATTTGAAAAATTCTTTCTGTGTTGGATAGCCCATTTATCGAGGAAGGCTATAGGCTATAAAACATCACGCTACGATTAATAGGCGCCGAGCAGAGCGAGTGAAACCGTGCGGAAGTAGGTAGTAAAGAATAAATAAAATAATGATATTCGAGTAATGCGTAAGGTGCGCCTAACAATTAACTGTATAATGAGAAACAAAATGTTCGTTAAACAATTTAGGTATGGGTGATTTTATCATAATAATCATTGTGCCCTATATTTTGTAATCACATTAATGTATACAATGAAACCCTATTGGCAAAATCTTTGAGTACCGCATAAACAAAGGGTTTTATTTCAAAGTCAATGTTAACAAGGGTCTTAACCTAATTATTTGCCATAACTCTTGCTTTCGAATCAATTTCGGTAAGTCTTTGTTATGAGTATTGTATCGATTCACATAATTTAATTAGGCATAATATTTTTTTCTCAAACCTTTTAGCACGGACTGAAAACTGTTGAAAGCAAATACTCTGTTCACACCGACCACTGGCCCCGACAGCGTTTAACGTGTTAATTAGACCTGTAAAGCGTCACGTGTTTACTTTGTTACTTTATAATACCAGTACCCTTAGTACGAGTTTATTTTAGTATGAGACCGCGCTGATCGCGGGACGATTTCCGGCCACCGTAAGCGCGGACCTGCGGACGGCGAGCATGGGTGGCTCCCCGTCCGACCAGAAACAGACCCGAGCGTACGGCGCATCGCGTTTCGCGCGCGCCTCAAAGAGCCATCAGACCACCACAGATGGGACCCAATAGGGCCGATGCCGATTCGGAGTCGCGGAGAACCTAACGGGTAACCGGGGCTCCGACTCGACGTGCAGGAGAAGGAACGGGGTGGTTTTTAGTCTGTAAGAGTCTGACACTCCCTCCCGCCTCACCCAGGCGAGAGCTGTCATTCTATGATTTTCCCCCCTTAAAAAAAAGGCTCTCTGATTGGTTGGTTCATTGGAGCAGGCCAATCATAGTATCGAACGCGGTCTCGTTTTGATGTTGTTAAACGTAAAACAAATTCGTACTAAGACCTCTGTATAGAGTAACAAAATACGGCATTAGGTTTGATGTTAATGAAAAAAATGCAGGGAAACTTGTACTCTTACTGCTTTTCTAGAGGTGCGATTTTCTATTATTTCTATGGTAATATATTGAAACATAATAAGATTTTTCGATCCCCGTGACAGTAACACGAAACATAAACTTGTAGGGTATCTTTTTTTAACATTATAATTCTCGAACTAGATTAGTTTACAAATTAAAACAAATACCCAGGAGACTAGCCAATTGGTTTATATGTGTATCTTATCAACCGTCCCTCGGGAAATCTAGACGCTGTAAACTTTTCATCAGAACATAAAAGCTGCGTTAGTCTTGTTCGCAACAAATAAAATCCGTATAGGAACTATAAAAGCGGTTTTACAGGATAAAAAAGGAGAAAAAAGTAAAATATAAAAGTCACCCTCTACCACCATTAAATCAAATCAAATCAAATCGAATCATTTATTCATTTGCGAACATGGGTACAAAAAAAAGGTCTTATACAAAATAGTGTCCATTAACCATATTCTACGTTAAAGGCATGCAAATTTAAAAGAAAGATACAATAACACATATTAGGCACTTAGTAGTACTAGTATTTTACAAGTGAGGTAAACATTACATAAGCTTATCCTGTAAATATTCTGTGACAGAGTAATATGCTTTTTCCAGTAACAGTGAACATTGTTTTTAAATACATTTTCATCACTTATCTAAAAGTCTTATAATTATAAAACTTTACATATAATTTTGAATTAAATAAATGTGTAAATCTACTTTGGAGAGTAGAGGCCGTAGTCTTAGTACGAGTTTATTTTACGTTTAAAGTAATCGTAACGAGTACGCGTTCGGCGCTGTGATTGGTTGGTTCATTGGCGCCGGCCAATCAAAGTGCCGAACGCATACTCGATTCGAATACTTTAAACGTAAATTAAATTCGTACGAATGCCTCAGAATAACAAATTGTCGATGTTGAGTTTTACCCCGTTAGACATCAGGGTCGACTGTAGCTTCGAGAAATATGAAGACAAAATACATTATTAAGAAAGATAGAACGACTAAACTTAGATTATATACAGGCTGGCTGGAAATAAATCTAGATTTTTTAAGCACTTATGTTTAAACAAGTCTAGACTAAAGTTATGTACTTAAGAGTCGTGTTTGAGTTTAATAAGTGTATTAAGTGAAATTTCAGTGCTGTTTCACTTTTTGTCTATGACTTATTCATTTCGAAGCTCCATTTCTGTAAATTAATGTCCCGTTTTTAAATATACTTATTTATAATATTCCAATAAATATTTTGTCTCGTATTTTACTATATCGTTAGTTCACAATTTTATCCGAGTATATTTATGAACAAGAACTATGATCGGACTGATTAAAGGATTCACCACATCCAGTTCAAGATAAAATAATAAAAATAAGTTTCTATTTTTATTAGGTACTTTTATTTTCTCTCGTTAACTAACAATGCCAATACTCCTGAGTTATATCAATTATTATATGATGTATTATATAATGACTGCACGGTTGGTGCGGTGGCTGGACAACCGGCTGCCGTGCAACGTGTTGCGGGTTCCATTCCCGCACGGAACAACACTTTGTGTGATCCACAAATTGTTGTTTGGGGTCTGGTTGTCATGTGTATGTGAACTTGTATGTTTGTAAACGCACCCACAATACAGGAGATAATCCTAGTGTGGGGCAACGTTTTATTAAATAAAAAAAATATATATATATATATCACAGATAAGACATTGGTGCTCAGAAGCTGGTGAGGGAGTGACGTTTGAGTTCGAACAGAAGGACCCCTACGTGGCACCGACACAGCTGAACGAGTCCAACGCCTTCTGGGTCGCTTTCAAAGCTGCTGCGGAACAACTGTAAGTTTGTTTTTTATTCGATAAAGCGACCAACAATGGGCATAATTATTAGTTACCTGGTAAGCAATCGTCGCCATTTATCTGCAACGCTTAAGAAGTTAGAATAGCGTTGTCAGTATTTTGGGGGGATTGGTCCTCAAGTAACCTCACTCACAACGGACACATTGTTCCACCTCGATTTTCTATGAACCTGCAGGACATAACATCATCATCATCACGCCTTTTATCCCCGAAGGGGTAGGCAGAGGTGCACACAGAAGTAACACCCACTTTTCACTATTTATGTTATGAGTCCCACGTAATAGGGGGTGAGCCTTTTGCCATATACCGGGCACAATTCCAGACTCCGTACTAATACTGAGACTTTTCACTATTTTTTTTAAAACCCAGCAATACTTTGCCCGACCTGGGAATCGAACCCGAGACCCCTTGCCCGGCAGTCGCACTTGCGACCACTCGGCCAACGAGGCCAACCTACAGGACCATTCCGAATATTACTGATTTCTTACACCTTCTTACCTACACGACATTAGTCGAAGTCTTTATCTATAATTACCTTAATCGAATCTCCCCAGGAAAATCTCGATGAAAACCTGCACGTTCCCTGGCGGTACAGACAGTCGGTATTTAAGGGAGCTCGGTATTCCAGCCATTGGATTCTCGCCGATGTCCAACACCGCACCAGGCTTGCACGAACATGATGAACATCTGGGAGCTGACACATTTTTACGGGGAATTCAAATCTACGAATCCCTTATACCGGCCGTCGCTAATGTATGATTGTACAAAGATTTATTAGATGAAATTTTCAAAATTGTTTTTTGTTTTTTGTTATAAAGGTAAATAATGGCTTTTTCCTTCAAAGATAGAAACAATATACTTACCCTTTGTTTGCTTTTTTATTTACTCATCTCTGGATTGAAAATTAACTCGTTTTGCTTTAATCAAGAAAGGTGAGGGAAGCTCAATAAAACCGTTAAGGAAATGAAGATTCTAAACGTAAAATGAATTTAATGCATGCACTATGCAGTTTAATGTACTTAAAAATTACACTACCTCTAGTTTGAGTTACCCTCAATTGATTTGTTTATAGTTATAACTTTATACCTTTTTCAATTTAACGAATAAAATTAAAAAGCTGCTAGGCACATATGAAATAAATATCAAATGATTTAGTTATAAAGTTTTATAGTTTCAATAAATTCATAACGATATGTATCAAGGCCAAAACTAAAATAATAAAACGATACAAAACCACAACCGCCATAATTTAACCTAAATGAAAATGTAAACTTGAATAATACGTATTAGGAAATATAAAAAGTCGAATTATTTGTAACCGTAAAAATGCAATTAAATACTATGTCCGAGAGAGAGTCTTCAAGACTACAAGTTCAACATTCTATAAAAAAGGCCGTTACAATTAAATCAACATTATACGTCCGTAACCAACTACACACATAATCCTAACCTAAAGCGAATTTGCAAACATGATAAGTTATGAGGTAATCATATCAAAATGGTTGTTGGTTCGTAATGGCTGCCCATAAAGAAAACAATAGTCTACGTGAGCTATTAGTGTACGTGATATAAGCTGCCGTAATTTTCAAACCTGTTGCTTTCCTCTACTTAGTACGTCGTTTACTGTTCACTAAACGAATGGTCGTACTTTTCGTGATTGGTGGGTAGTTGCTAATTAGAGTACAATTCAAAATACTTTTAAAGTCCGGTTCGATAAACAAGTTACTTAGTGTTACAAATGAGCCCGTTAAATACAAACAGAAGTCAAAAACAGCAACCAAAACAGCCACATTTAGTTAAAACTGAAACAAACAAAACTGGAAGACATTCAGCTCAATTCTACGTAAGTATCTCAGTTACCATCTTGTTTTAAAGCAAATAATTTTCTCGTAAACAGAGCAACACTTGACTCAAGGACAACTTTTGGCGCGGCCATTGCATAACGGAATGAATAACTTAGAGATTCCGTACGGCCTCTTGATGGCGCCCAACGCGGTACCGGTCGAGTTCTCATTGGCGCCCAACGTGGGACCTCAGTTGCGAGCAATTCTTACGCATTGCGTAAATAAGGAAACTTTTACGTTAACGAATTTGTATATTTAATGACAGTAGCATTGTAGAAGGCTTGCTTTTACCCGCCTGTGCCTGGTACGGAACTTCCGTTCACTGTTACGACTGTAGCCTTCAAATATTCATTTGAATCAATTAAAGTATAATCAGGCCCATACTTGATAAGGCTTTACGGTATTGACACAAATGTACATAATGTGTCTTTGTAGAAAATTTCGTCAGCATCTTTGTGTTGTCAATTAAAACTTGTCTATGAATACTGTGGGTATCTTCAGTTGCCATTTAGATATTACACACTATGATACCTTTAACAACAACAACACCAAGTGACTTTAACAATAAAAGATCTAATAATAACAATATAGATATCAGTATAAACATATGATATAACGGTTAGATGTAATTAGTATCTTATCTAACAATACCACACAGGTTTAGTACCTACACACACAGGACGTTCATAATTACTACCAGACTCAACGAAATCCAGACACAATACGTTACCGAGGAACATAATAACACTAAACCAATTTTTGTTTTATACCGCCATTAAAAGTCTACCTGTACATAAAGTGAGAACCTAAAACATAAGTGAACATAAAAATAATACATTATTTTCTAGATAGGGTGTGGAAAGTACTTAAAGTAAAACCTATTTTCACCAGTTATATTTTAAGTCCTATTATACGCTGCCAACAATTTCCCCTATATTATTAATAATAAAAAGTAGTAAATGGATAGTGTTATTTCATACGCCTTCTATTCAGAGAATCATTCACTAGTTTTTTTGTGTAAAAGTGCCACTGTAAAGTCAAAGTCAAAGTCAAAGCATTTATTTCAATTAAACCATAGTTTGGTGCTTTTGAAACGTCAACAAATACAAAATAAATAATAGTCTGTCAGTCAGTCCGTCAGTGAAACTAGGTGAAGCTAGGTGCTCATTCCAAAAAGTAGATTCGAATGGAGAAGAACGAGCAAGAAACTCCATTCGTTACTCTTTTTAAAAAAAGTATGTTCTACAATGTCTCTGATACATATTTCAATACTGTACGCATATGTAAGAACAATGCAAAGACATGCTTGACGAATTATACTAAAAACTTACTAAAATAAAAAAAATTAAAAATCTTGAAGTCCAACATGGTGCTAGCATATGCATACTGACAATCCATAGAATTAGTGCTTCTATACAAGAAAAGGAAACTCTTTGTTTCAATAAAGAAATGCTCGATGCCATAAGGAAACTAGATTGTCTACATTAGAATTAAATTGTTAAATTATGTATTAAAATACCTACTATTGGAATTTAGCTACTGACTACATTTGAGTATTGTCCAGTGGAGCCGAACCAACATGCTGCCAAGCATTCTTATCTTCAAGATAATCTGTCAGTGTGTAGTAGGCACAATGTAACACCCACTTTTCACTACTTATTTAATGAGTTCCATGTAATAGGAGGTGAGCCTATTACCATATATCGGGCACAGTTCCAGACTCAGTGCTACCACTAAGATTTTTTATAAAACCCAGTAATACTTTTCCCGACCCGGAAATCGAACCCGAGACCCCTTGCCCGGCAGTCGCACTTGCGACCACTCGGTTTTATTTAATAGTACAGTTTTTTTAAATAAATAAACTATTATCACATGAGTCGGCAGTTCGAATGGGCTACATATATGTAAAAGGTCAATGATATTCTCTTTAGTAAATCATACAATATAATGAAACAGGAACAAAAGATATTCTGAAACCGAGGCTAGGAAAGCTGTAAATCTTCTCTCGCCGTAGGTGGCGCTGTTACAACAATACTAAATCATTTTCTCTACCACAATATTACTTTAAACTTTGTTTTTTTGCCTCTGTTATTATTAAAAAGGTTTCAAAACACAATCTCTGTTGTTTTAATTTCAAGTTGCCATACATAATAATATCGTGCTCTCTAATGGATATTAAAACATGCAATATTGTCATTGAAATAAAGAATATTGAATTGTATTTTCGATTATCCATTGTTCTAGCAATTTTTATGTTCATGGATGCTTTGAGTGCGTGATACGTTGAGAGAATTGAAATATCTATCTTGTAACTTTAACCACAATCACTAAAACTGCTGTGTAATTGAGAGGGGTGAACAGGCTCATAGATAGGTGTGCTCCATTGTCGACCACATCATCGCTTACCAACAGGCGAGATTTTTTGTCTAGAAGCTTAAATACATTTACCCAATTGCATTGACTAAAAAATTATATACGATCACTTTCTATCAAATTCACTTTGCTAAGTCTGGACAAAATTCAAAACCATGACCAATACAACTTAGAAAAAGATTATAAGAAAGAAAGGAAGATAGATGGATGGAAATGTAGAAATTTTAAGGCTTCGATGTAGATTTTTGTTTACAGCTGTGCACTGGAACTTTGAAATTCGAAACACCAACGCTGTCCTTTTGTTTTTCGTTGGCACAAACATTTGAATATAGAATATCTCGGCCACCAACGCGACTCAAAACAAAAAGTTCAGATTTATGAAATGTTTTCGTTAGTTTCTTGTCGATATGTTACTAAAAAACCAGTGCCTTTAGCCAAACGTCACTTTAGCGCTTGTCTACAGAGAGAGTAGAAATCAAAATGTATCGGTATGACACTGACAAGTGTCAAAATTTACGTCACTTCCATATAATTTGGTTTTCTATTCAATATGTAGACAAGCGCTAAAGTGACTACAGCTGCTGATTAGACACACTTTATCAATTTTCAAATATACATATCAATCTTCAGCCAAAAATTGATTTCTAATTGCTTTAAAATTTATATAGTTTTCATTCCAGAAGATAAAAAAGAAAACTGGTCGCTCTTGAATTTAGCAAAACCAGCACGTTGATTTTGATATCACTAATAATTTTGCCATACTCGACTTTATATTGACAGATTCTTTCTGTCAACTTTCAATAACATATACTTTTTGTCTCTAAAATTAACACAAACATTTATTCAATTTTAACAAACCAACATTCTTGTACATCGTTTGGTATCTTATTTCTTTCTAAAACCCTGCACATTTCACGTGTGCCTCAGTAAATGTCGCATTGAATAAAATATAGGCTATCGATTTTTGCACTCTTTGCTGTAGATCTCTTAAAAATTGAATTCTGGAGCTGCTTGGTTCAGTTTCGTGGAAAACTACAACACAGTAAACTAAACTACATTATACAACGACCTATGTATTTATTCCACTCGATAGGACAATACTTATAAATCTATTACTGAGGTACATATATCTTTACTGACTGACGGACTTGACTGCCTCGTTGGCTGGTCCCAAGTCTGACTGCCTGGCAAGGGGTCTCGGGTTCGATTCCCGGGTCGGGCAAAGTATTACTCGATTTTAAAAGTTCTCAGTAATAGCACGGATTCTGGAATTGTGCCCGGTATATGGCAATAGGCTCACCCCCTATTACATGGGACTCATAACATGAATAGTGAAAAGTGGGTGTTACATTATACAGTGGCATTAAGTGCCGTAATGTGCACCTCTGTCTAGCCCTTCGGGGATAAAAGGAGTGATGTTATGTTGTGTTATGTAAACTTCTTAATTTTTCTATTCTAAAATCTACGTTTTTGGAAAAAAACAAAGTCTGAAATTATCCATAACAAACATACCCTACTTATTACTTGAACAAAGGCGACCCT